AAGGGAGCGGGCACTGACGAGGACACGCTCATTCGCATCATTGTAGGCCGCTCTGAGGCAAGTCAAAAAAAAACTAAATTTGGGTCTAAAAATGTGCTCAATTTTAAAGGAAAGGATTTGTTGTGACGGCAGTGTTATATTGTTAACCCCACAGTTCGACCTGGAGACAGTGAAGGACATGTACCTGGAGAAATACGACGTTACCCTGAAAGACGCTCTGGATTCAGAGTGCGGTGGAGACTTTAAACGCCTCCTCATCGAAATCCTGCACTAAAACATCTCTTCTTACAAGCCTGGAACAACATATGTAATAACTAAAAAAAATCTATCCAAAATACATTTTCACTTTACTCTGCAGAAATTATTGTAATTATCTGCTGCAATCTGGACACAATATGAAAAGAATAATTTTCTAAAATATATTACAAACATGTGAAAATGATTTACTACAAATGTGCAGGGGTTAAGGCAACATCTGGACGCTGCAATTACCATTACAAATAATTATGTAATAACCAAAACAAAATGGAGGTCTTCATTCATAAACAATTGTATACAATCATAACAACAATGTCCATTTTATCCATTCACGTATGAATCAAACCAATCCTCCTTGAAACATGCGCAGGAAGGAGGGAGATCATTTTGGTCTGTTATTATATTATCCACATATTACATTTACATTAAAGAAAATTACAACTCCTGCATTTTGTAATAACCAGTACAATATGTGTTAAGTTATTGCAAAATGTGTGAAAATGTTTAACATACAAGCTGTTTATTATAAACTGCAGCATATTATTTAGAAAAATATGGATATTATTACATAATCAATATAAAATGTGTTACCTTTTGTGGAATGATTACATAATGTGTGGTTTCAATGCCTTATTTAACCAATGTGACGACATCTCTCCCCACTCATTCTTCCTTCTCCTCTTCCTTATACCCCTTTACCAGTTTTACTCATTCACTTCAGAGTCATTCTCATTGCAGCATGGACCAAAAAACAATTACACAGTATTTGACACATGGTGAACTTACATTCATAGCGTTTAAATACACAGTTTTGACAAGAACATTACACTCTTACTGTCAAGGTGCTTTGAATGGTTGTTATCCTTTTTTGACAATATTACGACAGCATTGTGGAATTTGTTAATGTTTTTATCTAAATAAATAGTGTTAGTCCAGTTCTTTATTCACACGTAACAGCTTTAAATAAACATTTCACATTTAAGTTGTAGGTCAGCATTTCAAACATTTGTTGTCAACATAAACGACATGTTCTCTTATGTTTGTCGCCTTACTCATTTCTAATAACTGTAAGAGCCTCAAAGATGCCTTTCAGAAGATGATGGCGATGCAATTTCCTTTTTGTTGCAACACTTAAGTGCCGAATTTGAAAAAGTAGAGGATTTAATATACATAATATACCCTGATTTCATAAGCCTCAACTCTTCAAGTATGCAGTGTCGGGTTTTTGTAGCTACATCCCTAGTTTTTTATTAGGGATTTTTAACTGTTTGTAGTCTTATTTTTAAGTCAAAGCTAACATCCTGCCTCTTACATTTACACACTTTATTAGACAGTTTCCTGTTCTCATTTACTGCATTAACATTTACTACAGTTAAACTCCTACATAATACATGTGTAACACTTGACTTAATGTGCTTTAAAGATTAGTAGATCTTAATATTTAAAAAAACATAGGTTTTGCTCTAACCCCATAGTACAAACGCTGATAATGGACTACATGTATGGAATTGTATCTCAACACACTTTATTAAAAACCAACTATACTATATTACTCTAGTATTATAAATAAATATGATACATTGTTGTATTCCCATATAGCAAATGAAGACACTAACTTATATGAAAGAGATTGTTATTAACCTGTTGTAATGGCATTATTATCCAGTGGAAATAAAATAACTTCATCCAAAATGTGTTATTCTCTTTATATCCTGTAGGGGGCAGCATTGCATCACCATTTAGTACATGGTGCATTTCAGGAAGAAATTACATGCAAGTTATTCAAATCACCGTGAAATCACTTATGTTATTGTATTGTGCTTTGTAACGTATTGTGACGTGTATTACTCATTTTAAACAACCATTTGCTCTTACAGTATGTCAACCAAAATGTATTGTGTTTCTGTTTTATAATGTTTGTGGTGCTGGCCTATGATCCAAAGCAACATAAAAGTTGCTTTTTATAATATCTAACCCAAAACATTTCTGACTTATGCGCAGAAACAGTGGGACGCCTCTGGGCGACTGTAAAGCGGGAAGAGGAGAAGAAAAGTTCAAAACAAGTGAGAACTGCTTCCAGATGCACTGACACAGGAGCAGCCAAATTCTCACTTTCATTCCCACGGCTTTCTTCTTCTTCTCTTTCTCCCACTCCGCTCTCTGTATCTTCCTCTCCCCTCACATTCCTTGATGTAATGGTTGTTTCTGTATCAAGGGCAAGGTTAGGAGTACACTTGCCTCCTGCACATTCTTGCTACCTGTATGTTCACTGTCTGTGTGCCATATGTAGCCCTGCTGCTCGCTCATGCCCTGAAGGCGGTGTGCACCACACATGCCTGTTCATTTCAGACAAAGGTGGGGGGTGGATTCCATGCAGTGTAAGGACTCAAGTATGACGTGTCAGACTCCCTTTTGGGAAATATTTGTCTCTAAATATTGTGATTTTTGGAAGGAAACAAATTCTATTACAACATGTTCCTGATTAATGTCTTAATAGAAACAAAGGGATTGTAGGACAATTATTTGGGTGGGTAGGGGGGACGAATTTTCAGTTTAGCTGTTTTCCAAAGCAGGACCCGACACGGTAAGGAATATCTCGAACGCCCGCCCTTCAGAAAACATGCCTTACCCTCCAATAAGAAAAAACTGCAATAACCTCCCCCGAATAAGAATAAAAGTGCCTTATCTTAAAATAATGAAAATACAACCCCCTTATTGGAAAACAACTGCAGTGTTCTTAGAATAAAAAGCATTACACAGCCCCAATAGGAAAAAATACTTTAAAAAAAAAAGCTTATGTTTTTTACATTTGATTTTCTTTCTTTTTACAATTATTTCTAGAAGAAAAACTAGAAATAAAGTATCAATAAATAAGTCAAACTACCCTCCCTGACTGTCCTTCCAAACCAATTTCTGTACACTCCCAAAAATACCATGATGCAAATATTGACCATTCATCTTAAATTATTTCTTGTGGAAAGTTAAAATAGTTTAATGACACTAAATACATTTGCTTTGGCATTTGGAGGCCGGGGAAATTGTTTAAAATCCTAAACTAAAGTCTAAAAGCCATGTAATAAAGTATCTAGAAGAACAAGTATGGCTTAAACATAAACCTCTGTTTTTTCTTACAGGCAAACCTATTCACTGCTTAAAGACACATACAGACTCAACACACCTTCCTCCATCTGTACTCTATTATCCAGAGTGCTAATGTGTAAGGGCAACTTGTCCTGCCAGACAGTGCTGCACTCTATACTGTAGGCGCTGACCTTTTTCCTTGAGCGTTTATCATTGTCAAACCACAGTACCTCACCCAGCAAGTCATCCATCAGCCTGGGGGTGTTTTCAATTTGTCTCAAGATATGCTTTCTTTCTCCCCTCTGCTTATTGTCTTCTGTCTAGTTCTTGACAAGACTGAGGCTTAGTTCACTCTGCTGCTCATGTTTTATTCGTAGCAAAGGTCTGGTCAAGCTACCTAGAACTAGAGAAAATCAGACAGTGGGACAATGTGGAAATGGTCGCGTCGGCACTCTTTTGATCCCTACACCTTCATGACACAAACCTGCATATTAATGGACTAATCCCCTAAAAGTCATGATTTTTTGAATAATCTATAGCACACAGTAACCTGGGGGTCATAACTTCAAAGGCTGGAATAACAACATCAACTGGTCTACTGGTTTTCATAGAACATATGCCCCGGATCGTAATATGCTTTTTGATCTTGTGCCAAAGCAGAGCAGCACTAGGAAGGAGAGGGGTTGTCATTGGGCGTGTTTAGGAAAGCCATTTTGAGGTTAACTACCCGGCTAATATAATTTCAACTGTTTAAATTCATGATAAAGGATCTGTTCTTTGATGTTTAATAGGAAACACCTGGCAGCTTCTGCTAGGAGCAAACTTATCCAAATCAGTCACCATGTTGCTAACTGTGGCACGTGAGGAAAAGCCCATGATTAGGACAAGACACCATCCAAAAAACATACAGTAGTGACAATTGTGACAATGTGATAAGGTTTGTCAGTTGGCAGTTTTTGACTAGCTGTGGTTACAAAATAGGCCTGGCTACTAAAGCCGAGCTATAACTCTCAGCTACGTCCTAATTAGCCAAATACTTTAAAAGCTAATGCTAAAGCTTGCTAATAAAGGTCAATGCTTGATTATAGTATCAGTAGAATTAGCATGGAGCAAGTAGATGAAAGTCTTAAAAACAACTACTCAGCTATGTCAGTCCCAGCGGTACAACTTCCCTAACATTACATAACATTAGCTTAGTGCTGGGTGGTAGTTAAATACATGTGCTACTATTTTAACTACTTTTAGCTTTAGCTTGCATCTTTGCATAGTGATTAGTCAAATTGCTTGTTTTGTACAGTTAAGTACTATAACTACAAACTACTAAAGAGGAAATATATATTTTGTATTAATCTTTTGTTGAAATTCAGATTCTGCTTTGACAAAAATAAAAAGGATTGTTAAAGTTGTTAGGGTTGTACAAGTCAGAGGATACATGATGAGTTAGACTCCAGGCCCATTTTCTTAGACTAGTGGTTGAGTTTGTCAAACAGATAAAAAAGGTGCACAAAATATAAAGTATGCTCATTTTCTCAGAGTCCTCTATTCAATCTGACCTGCTTTAGCGTACAGTTAAAGCGGCCCCTTCCAGTTCATTTCAAGTCACTTCCGCAATGGCTTTACTTCTCAGACCCTGGTTCTTACACAGAGACAGCAACACAAAATCTGGCAAAACAATTTATTGGATTTCAAATAAAACATCAAATATACACTTTATTACAGTTTGCTTTGAGTAAACATTAACTATATCTTACGGTGTAAATAATGAAGATAGTATACTATCTCTCCAGGACAGTTACACCTGGCCTTAGTGAAACATATGATTGTCTTTAAGTCCATAATATGCAGAAAAGTGGTCATTAAACAGGGCATGCAGTAGATATTCACATTAGAAAATGGTGGCTAACATGAAACACATGCTCTTAAAAAACACTCTCCTGAGTGAAACCAGCAGCTAACTGCTTTTAGTGACAGCAAACAATGCTGTAGCCACAGTGGGAATGAGCTGAAGATCTATTAGAGTCAACAGAGTAACATTATTACATAAATAAAGAGAGAGAGAAATACAGCAAATACAATTTCGGAAGTGTGAGAAAATAGTTTAGAGCCATCAATTACTTCTGTAGAAATAATTACACTTAAACTTGCATTGATATAAATAAGGTTGATGAGTAATGCTACTTTTTTTGCACAAAATACAAATAAAAATCAAATGAGCTGTAGGCTACTCACTACAAAATCAAGCAGCTTCAAGCAACAGTTCAACGTTTTGGAAATAGCCTATTTATTCTCTTAACAAAAGTTAGATGAGAAGATATAAAATGGTCCTGAATTGCAGGTAAACAGTTCAATTGGAGAATAAAAAAGCAGAATGTATTTGCCAAAATGCAATTTCAGAAACCATCTGCAGACACCTGGCAACAATTTCGTTTTTGTTTTAGCTTAAAGTTAGCTTATAAACTGGCTTCTTGTGACACAATTGAGTCATACAATTTGGCTCTCTCAACTGCAGTCTTGCATCTGAAGATGCTTATCTGACTGTAAACAAGGTGTAGTGCAGAAAGGGTAAGTTGGCAAGACACTGTATCTGTTGGCTACACTGGTCTCTCCGAGAAATAGCCAGATCGATAGTCAGACCGATATCCAGTGGGTTTCAAGATTGTAAAAGTGCTAATAAGCACATTTTTACCTGTATTCTCAAAGGTATTCTTACCTTTGGACTGAGCCGGGCTAGTGCTTAAGCTATCAAGCTGCTGGCAGTAGCTTGATATTTATCAGACAGATATAAGAATGATATAGATAATCTCATGTAACTCCCCATAAGAAAGTAAATAAGCGTCTTTCCCAAACAATCTAACTACTGTATGCCTATTAAATCAAACTAATCAAAAATGTCCATCATATAAATGGCTTAGCTTCTACTGAACTGGAACAACATGGTGAAGCTTTGTCTCTCTGATGTTACGCTGCTACCCAGAGGATCGACACTCCACTTCCTGTTTGGTAGCTGATCTGGTTGACTCGTCCGCGTACACAGTCAAGTGTGAAGAACACAGCTGTACCGTTATGAACCTGGAAGGAGGTCCGCAGGCTAACACTGGCCCAATTACTTCCCTCAGGCATCTGACCGGCCACCTGCTGGGCCAGAGGGACGGGTCGCACTCCCTCCGCCTCTCGGCCTCCTCCTGACCCATCCGGATCGTTACGCTTTAAAAGAGTCACCTTGACCAGGTTGCAGGAATGAATGAGTTTGAGGTCCATAGCCATACTGACTGTGCCGCTCTCCTTGAAAACAAAATCTCGCTTTTGATCTGTTGGACCTTTCCCTAACAGCCCCATCTGAGAAACCTGAGCACTGGTCTGGCGGAAGAACAGCGGCTTGTTCCGGACTGCTCCTGACGGTAGGCCGGTGTTGGACACTGATGCCGTCAGAGAGGAAGACAGAGCAGCAGGGACCCAAACCAAGCTGAGGATACTGATGCCGGTCTCGTCTCCAAAGAAGCGTACATTGCACTGAGCAGGAGAGAGGATCTCAAAACCTAGGGTGTCCCCAGAGCCAACTTTAGCCACTCCTGTCAGAGATAAGGACGTGTCTCGATAGTGGACGCCTGGTTTGAAGGAACGCCCCAACTCAGAGCTGGTTCCGTTACGGTTCAGGTACGCTAACAGTTGGAAGCCCTCACTCACACACGCCTGGCCCATGGAGTACAACGCCTGCTGAAATACGAACCGCACGGTGCCACTTTCTGCTAAACGAATCCCTCGGCCATCATGAGTCAGCCCCACAACGTAAGGGTCAGACGTGGAGCTGGTGCGGAACACCGGGCGATAGTTGGTATGGTAGTGTGCGGACACCATTGCCTGTGCTGTCATGGCAACAGCCCCGGTGTCATGTGAGAGCCAGAGAAGACTGAGTGAAGCTGCTGAAGGCTCGTACAGCTGCAGACCATCGTTGCTTTGGTTACAGTGGTTGCTGGCACTCCGGAGGAAGAGGGATATCTTGTTACCTGGGGCGACTTCTGCTACCCCGCTGATGCTGACACTCTGGAGGGACTTTTCTTCCCGCTGCTCTACCCTAATGCCACTGAGGTCACGACCTTCAGAGCTGTCTGTGTTGTTCATACGTAGGCACAACTGGATGAAGCTACGGCAACCGTGGCTTACCGAGAGGTTCTCATCAAGCCAGACCAGACCGTGCTGCCTGAGCACCAGACGGCCTTCTTCGGCGGACAGTAGCACTCCGTCGCCTCTTCCTTTTATTTGAAGCTGCACGCTAGGGAAGGCATGAGCCAGGAAGTTGCCTTTTGCGCCAGGCAGACTTACATCTCCAGCCCAGGATAGAGAGAGCGCGTTGTCACCAGCAGGAACAGGGCCAGAGCAGATGGAGTCTGCAGTGAAGGTACAAGGGGAAGCAACGGGATCTCCATCACACTCATTGCAGGCCTGACACTCATCCATGTCCGAGTGGTAGAAGTAGTCATGGCCGCACATTCCTGAGTTGCCATCACGCTCCGTCATGCTCTGGCACCTGAAGCCACCTGACGATAGAGAAACAAAGACATGATGGTTGAACATTTTATTCTAAAAGCACTGTCTCTAGTTATGATGAATAATCATTATTTTAGTCCAGCAAATGGAAAAGAAGGCCAATGTAGGAATGTTTTAGAGACCTTTTTGTTGTAATATAATGTAGACTCTTTACAAAAGTTAGGGTTAGGGTTAGGGTTAGATAGTAATTAATGTTACCTGGAGTGTTGAGACACTTCTGTCGATCTCCACACAGATCAGATATTTCAAGGCATTCATCTCTGTCCTGTAATGACAACAAAAATCAACACTTTCAATGTTAAAACATCTATGGTAATTACTCAGTCACCCTACTCTGTGGTTCCCCATCAGTCAGCTCATTGTTTAAGTTTTCCGGCCACAACTTTATTGTTTTGTTTGGCATTAACATCCCTCAGAACCAACTATTCTGGAGAGGCAGGAATTGTTTTACAGAGTAAATTCCACAAACCCAAACTATTACACAGACAAAAGTTTCTTGCTTTTTTGTTCGTTATTTGTTTTTTCTTCTGTCTTTTATGACAATTCTACTTCAGAGAGAATTTAGTGGTAAAACACCCGCCGACACAAGCTTTGTTTTGCTTCCCATGCTATAAAGTTGGACTCAATGTGAAGCGAAGAGGCACTTTTTCCTCGCAAATGTTTTTTCGTCTCATAGACAGTGTAATTGAACAGGGGGCAATCGTTAATTCTGTGCATGTGTGACCACATCCTTAACCTGTTAAGCACCAAGCCTGTTTTTCATGTTTCAGGCTCGAAAATGACATGCCCAAAACAAATGACTACAACTTAACTTCTAAAAGGGTTATATGAATAATTTCTTTTATCAAAGCAAGGTTACATCTGTGAGTTGGATGTAGAAGTGTCAGAATCAATATAGATGTTTTTTATTTTAAAGAAAATTCAGATTTTACATAGTAAAAAACTGTAAATGATAGTGTCCGTCCAAAAATTATTTTTTACAGATAGTGAAAACTACCCTTGGATGATGGGTTAGTAGACTAAAAGCTTTAGGAATCCAAAGTACAACATATAATAAGTACCCTGTATCAAGATTGATGCAACACAAGTGACATTTGACCTTTTTAGAGAGGTTTAGCCAAAACCACCCCACCTCTGAGGTGATTTGGGTGAAAATGTTTTTTTTTCCATATCTCTGGCCCCCCTTGGTCGATTTTGATGGTTGACACCTCTTTCTGACCGTTAGAGCCAATATAATCGAAGGGGGGGTCTCCCACACACACACGTTGTGAAGAGAAGAGGTGGGGGCTTCGCGCATACATTTTGCATCAGAGTGGACCGATCTCTCGCTCTGACATTTGGAAACGGAAAAGCAGTTTTAATGCTTATGGATTATCAGAAATCATTTCAAAGAGGACACAGACACATTGAATTAACCTATGGATTAACTGCAGCATCGTTTTTTTATCGTTTTATTGCCATTGAAGACCAGTTTTGACCAAGGTAAGCCATGTTAGCGTTTCTAGCTACCTAGCTCCACATGTTCTGATGTACGCTTTTGTTTATAGCGTCGCAAATGTTTATCACTGAGTGTTGAGGTGGGCACCCCCAGATTCTGTGTCTCCAGGAGATGCTAATCGATGGGTTGGCTGTGCATCTAGGATAAGTAATAAGGGAGTTATGAGTGAGTTTAGCTGCAGTGATAGGTTACATTTTTCGCTCGTGGCTAATTCAGAGGCTGAGTGTTAGCATTGTGGGGTTTTTTTGGAGAAAAAAAATTAAAAAGATCAGTTAGCTGAGTTTCTTCCCGTTACATGGATATAAAACATTCATAGTTTATTAAATATTAAGATTCCTTAGACGTTGTTTCCTGCAAATGACGCGTTTATCCGCCCGGTACCGGGGGGGGCGGTGCGTAACAGGTTAATGTATTTGTCATAGTTGAATTGCAAGTCTATGACAATACTAACATTATCAACCTATAGTACAAATGATGTACATAATAGTCTTATCATACCATCTATGGACATGACCTTGATCCTTTTTGCAGACATAATATTGCCCGTTGTGTTTACATTTGTGCAAGTTAACAAAAGAATGTCCCCAACATTTTCGCCAGCATGATGCAGAATTATCAACGAGATTTTCATCTGTCATATATTGTTTTGATTATGTGTTTATAGCCACAACCCTAACCCTAACCCTAACCCTATATTTAATTTAAGTACATTTTGATTATTGAAATGTGTGAATATTCTCATGGATGTATTGCTTTTTGAGAAGGAGTACTTGCATTCATATAATCAGTGTAAAATAAAGACCATTAAATGAAAAAAATATAATTTATCATATTGCATGTTTCTTGGACGATATATCATCCAACAAAATAAGTTATAATAACAGGCCTACATTTTATGTATAAAGATGATAATGCTTACCTGGCAGATTCTGTCAGCGTGGATTGAACACTGTGCGACCAGGAAGAAGCCGGCGGGACAGACGGTACATTTCTCACAGTGAGGATGACCGCTGATGAAGCTGCAGTACTCCTCAGGATCGCAACTCCCACAAGCCATCAGGGGGCGCCCCACCTGTAAGCAATGAATAAATGATTAAACATCACAGCCAGTCAAATCATACAAATGTGCATGTATATCCTCTGTGTTTGAGCATGTATATACTCCCTGTATGTGTAATGTGTGTAAACACAACAGAGTGGAGAAAGACATTTCCCTGTGAGGGATTAATAAAGTATGTCTTCTTCTTCTTCTTCTACTTCTTTTTCAAAGTAGGATACACAGAGAGGCTAACCAGATGTCAGATGTTGCTTATATTTTAACTAGTCGAAATATTTTAACATTTTGTAGAAGTAAGTTTGTAGAAGGTATATTCATTTATATTATTACTCCAGATTCTTCTATGGTGTAGTTTGTGCTTTCGCAGAAGATCTTTTAAAGGTCACCTATTATGCAAAATCCACTTTTTCATGTCTCTTTTACATCAACATGTGTCCCCTGAAAAAAGATTCTCTCTCTTTTTGTCCTGATCCATTTATATAAAAACCAGTCTGAAAATGAGCTGATCAGATTTTGGCCACTTTATGATGTCATAACGATTTATTGGCTTGTGTAACCATTAGCCAATAACCAACCAAGGTAACTGCCGCCCACCTTATCACCTGAATCTCCTCCTATTATGTATTTATTTCAACAAGGACCATTCATACAAATACATTAGTCTCAGAAAAGAGAAGATATGAATTATGCCAGATTATAGCTAATAGCTCATTTCCATCTGCAGTCCTCAGGCAGGTACATAACAATCAACAAACACTAAAAACATTACATAATCTCTATCACACAAACAATTATAAAACAAGATTTAATTACAGGTCAATAAATAATACATAGTACAGTTCAAATATAATATTACAATACAGTTACAATTGAAAAACTCAGATTAGAGTGTAAATAATGTTGGCATGACTGGTTGCTTAATATCATTTTTTTTTTTGCACCATAAGAGAATGAGTTAAAGTCAGTACAGGTTTTAAGAGCACTATTGTGTTCTTTTCAACAAAATATCTCGCAGAGGGGCGTGGGGAGTGGCTCCTTATTTTCATCTAAAGTAACAGGCAGAGAATCAGCACTTTTGAAACAGGGCTGAAACAGAGGGGATTATGGGATGCTACAATGCATGATCTGTTTGGTATTTATATCCAAACACTTCAGAGACATGTTTTGTATATATCTGAGACCTGTAATATATTGATTAAAAACAGTATAATAGAGGACCTTTAAGAATTTGAAACCAAAAATTTAGATTTTCTTGCAAAACAATGGCTGGCATGTAAGTAAAGCCAATTGTACATTACTGTATTGTACATTCAAGTACAAATAACTTTTAACCCAGGGTTTTTAGTTTGTCTGATGATGTAAACATCTGATACAGGTTGACAGTAGCTGTATAGAAAGTAGTCTGTAGAGACTTGACTTGTGACTGGTTCAAGTCCCAGAATGGACCAAATACAGAGAGAGGAGTGTTACTTCTTTGTGAAGAACTGTTGTCTTTTTTTCACCAAAGCAGTGTATACAGGACCGTTAGTAACCCTCGATGCCTGATTTATCCTGCATCTCACCTCCATCACGCTGGCCTCCATGTCCACCTTGTGCAGAGAGAGCGCCTGCTGAGCTTGGTGGGCTCGAACCTGCCCGTTCATGCTTTCCATGTGACTGTCCATCTCCGCCTGGAGGCTCGGGAAAGATGTTTGTTTGATGCTGTCCATCATTATGTTGTACTGGGCTTTAACCTGGAAGTAGAAACAAATAAAAGTGCACATTTCTTTTTAGTATGATCATGATAATAATCACCAGGACTTGTGTGTTCGCCAAGATGAATACACAAATTAAACACTATGATTATTTATTCCAGGCAACCCCATTAGTCTGCTCTGCTTATAATTGTCCCAATTGTTCTAGTTTGAGGTGCAGACCATTCTCTTCCTCTGCTCCACATTATGGTAAAGCTCCTCCATAGGGAGGTCATCTGTCATGATCCAACAAAATAAAACTTCTGCATGTCAGATGTTTTCCATCCACCTCTTCTTAGTAATTGTTCAATGCTATAATCACAGCCTAATAACAAAACCACAAACTATCAACATCTTCTTTTTCATCATCGATCACAGAGGCCGTACTTGCTCCATCTGTTCGTACATCCTCCTCTGCTGCTCCAGTATTTCTCTCTGCTGGTTCACCAGCGTCCCCTGCTGCTCGCTGAGGAGCCTCTGCAGCTCCTTGACCTCGTCCTGCTGGCCCCTGAGGGCCTCAACCAGCTTCTCCTGGCTCTTAGACAGGGACAGCTGCAGCACAAGAGCGTCCTCAGAGGGAAGCTCATTGTTGCCTATGGCAGAGAAAAACAACTATAGTACATATATCGCAGAAGGAGGTTACACAATGGTGATGAAATGCTACATTTTTATATTTGCAGTATTACAAATCTGGTGTCTACCATTATTCTGGGGAGTTTTTCCCCATTGTATACACACAATAACATTTAAATATGCATACGATTTTGAAAACTTTGCAAAATACTGCTTGACTCTAAAACAATGTGGATTGTTTTATTAAATTAGACATTCTAAATCAATCAGGACTGAAATCGTAAAGTTTGCTACTTCAAGTGGTTTTTATTTCTCACTGAGAAAGCTGCAACTTCACTTAGATTTCTTTATCTAAAATGTAGCTTTTTGGCAGATTCCTCCCAGGCTGACACTGACCTGGTTTCATGTCACATGTCAACTGTATCCATGCACCACGATCCGTCCCAACGTCTGGAAGCTCATCCAGAAACTGCGCCGCTCTGTCTGTCACATGAACCGGGGACGAGTGCCCTCCTCTCCCGTCGTCTCCTCCATGCGTCCCGCATCCTTCCCCGACGCAAGGCTTGGGCATCTGGCGCATCCGGAGGGGAAGTTTACATCCGATCCCTTTGCACCCATGCGTTGCACCGTCATCACCCGTGGGACGATGAGAGACAGACGTCGGACATGACCCACCGACGCAGCCAGGATGGAACACCTCCGCCGTGATGGTCCTGGGGTTAGTCCTCCTTATGCCATCCGTCCCTGCTGGCTGCGCAAAGCCTCCCTGCTGAGGTTGGCTAATGGTGTACGGGGATAAAGGCGCGCTCTGGGCTTGGTGGTGACTAAAATGACCATCCTGTTGGTAACTCGGGTACACATGTCCCTGTCTGGACTGTGCAGAGTGGGGATTCTGTCTCCTGGGTGCCGCTGCCTCCGTGCGCCTTTGGCAGTGCGCTCCGACGCACGGTCTGCTCCAGTCCTGGCCAGAAAAGCAGCGCGCGCCCCGGCAAATCTCAGGTACGCTCGCAGCCCGATTAAACAAAGATGTTACACAGAGTAAAAATAAGGTAGAAACACGCGCCATGTTGCAATACTGAAAGGTACAAACGTAATCAAGCCCTTTTTGCGCACCAATCCTTCACTCCTGTTTGTTCATGTCTTGAGAGAGAGAAAAATCCCTTAAATGAGTAATTATCCACGTAGGTTCCAATTGATGTCGAACAAGTGGTTCCACAGACTTTTAGCTTGTCCCCATTGCGCGCAGTGCGGTTTCTGCCCCCTTTGCCCCTTCTGGAGATAGCTACGTCGTCTAGCCCACATGTGGCGCTCACTGCTCCTAATTGGCAACAGGCTTTGCTTCTAGTCTTAAATTAACCCGTAGCTTTCCCGGACATACCACTCTGCACAGTCACTCCTATTGAAGCTGTGCATGTGGTACATATTTGGACTTTCGATTCTAATGTTGTTTTTATTCTCACACTCCTGTGGTTCATTTATAAGCAGCTTTGGAGCAGGAGTTAGTAAGAAGTTCCAAATGGTCCAGTGGAATCACAAATATTTAGTTAAAAGTTTTTTTTTTTACAAATATATTTCAAAGGGAAATTAGCTTTTTTTCCTTTTATTTCATTCATTTTGATGACAGGATCAACCCTGTGGGTTTTTAACAAGCACTGTGAGAAATAAAATCTGTGCTTTATATGGCACCCAAGCTTTGATCTCTTCTACTAGATTAGAGTGCAGTAGTGGGACCCTATGATATTGTGAAGTCAATTCTGCCTCTCCTGTAAAATGTGTACTTTATTACACTTTCTTGCCACTCTCATTTCCCTTCACTGACCCCACCTGGCCTTGATTAAAGCCTGTACCCACATTAGAAACACTTAAATGTTTCCTCCTTGTCTTATCTTTAGGGCAAAATGGAACTCACACAAACACAAACTGAATATAACCAAGTCTTTACTCATGTCCTCCATCTCTCAGAAGTAGTTTATAATAAATCATCGGCTTATAAACACACACTTCATGTATATGTTGAGTCGGGACCTTTGGGTTTTCTTTAAGACCGTTTAAGGAAGGGTACACACACATGTGCACCAGCAGCAGGTGAACGCAGGGTCGCTCTTAGACATGGTTACTCATTTACCCACTTAAGCTAAAGAGGGACCTCACATGGTTCTGAGGGAAGCTATACCGACATGTACTCTGTACTTAAGAAGACTCCGGAATAGGATTATGGGATAGGAGAAAATAGGTTATTTTCAGATCACCTACTTTTTACGTATGTATATGTATGTATTTTAGTCTTTTCATTTGTTTTTCTATCTCATATATATATCCCTTTTTTAAACAAGACATATTTATTTCATTTTTTTCCATCTGTGAAGCACATTGTACTGCAAAACAAAAAAATATTATTGTAAAAAATATATTTCAAAATAACCAACAGCCCACTGGTAAAGAGACAGTAAGAACATTACTGTTCTTGTTGGGACCTCACCCATTTCTTTTATTGTTTGCAATATTTATAGGGATGCTACTATCAATTTCTTGCTCTATCTGCTGACCCATCAACTTTGCTATAATATTCTACATAAACTGCAGCCAGGGCCAAAAATGTTAAGGGTGACTCAATTTAGTTGTAGAACCCTAAAAAGTCATGCATATGAGCTCACTAACTCGAACAACCAAACGAAATGTATCAGTCAATAATGTTTCTTTAAAGGTAGGGTAGGTAATTCACCTCAGAAACACTTGTTATATTCCATGGAATGCTCTTAACATCCCGATAGCAATGAATAAATTAAATGCTTTGACAATAAATATATACAAATATTTCATCTGTGGAAGCCGTGGCGCTGTAAAAAGCAAGTCCAATTATCTGCCTCGGCCCGCGGCAGATAATTGGATGGCCTACTTGCCTGTCAGCCTTCCATCTCGTGCACAAACTTATCTCGTGCCCTCATTGGTCATGTGCGCGTTCGTGTGTGTTGGAGGAGGGGCTTGTAAGGAAGTCTGAAGGAAGGGGCAGATTTTATGTACTTTCAAATTCTAGCTTACTTGAGCTGGTTTCTTCCTTCTTACCTACCCTACCTTTAACATGTGCTTTCTCTGCATGACAAAATCATTGCTACTGAGGCTGGACCTTAATGCAGACAAGGACAAGCAGTAGGGTGAAAGGTATGTTATCTATAACCTTGGAAAACAATACAGCAGGCCAGGGAAAGTTATGGATGAGTCTATGAGCTAGCAGGCTAGCTGGATACTGAAAGGACTGGAAGGTTTTTCTTGAGAATGGAGAGCAGGTGTGAGTGTAGTTGGCAGGTAGGCAAAAAGGCAAACAGACTAACAGATATCAAAACTGGCAAAAGAAAGGAGTTAAAGAACTGGAAGCAAGGTGCATAGACAAATAGCAACCGAGACTGACCATTGGAACAGGGCAAAGTAATGAAGGGGTTAGCTTGATGAATGGGCAGGTGTGCTGATTGCTGATCATAGCCAGGTGAGTAGTGAGAAGGAGAGAGGACGAGAGGGGGAAGGGGAAAACAAACAAACAATGCTGTGTCTACATTTGGATACTTCCCGTACACTGCATGTTATGCACTGTGAACACTAATGCAGTGTATGAATTTCCACCATGTAGTGTTGTTTCAATAGCACATGGCTGCTGTGCCTTCACTGGAAGTGACGATTACTGCTCTTGCCAGCTAGCAACGTTACAGTTAGCAGCAGCAAATGCAGCTCAGTTATCCTGATAAAATTAACTTTGGCATGTTTTTGACACCAGTAGGCTATAGCGGCATGTATATTAAATACAGAAAAAAACACATACATCATGCTGCTGTTTAATAGCTAGCTAGCTAGCATTGATCGTTTGCAGTACCAAAACATTACAGACATCTCAACTAACATCTAACCCAATAAGATTCACGGTGGCTTTTTTTCCACACGTGCTACGTTACTTAAATGGCGAATAAAACCCCACATGTTTAGCTTTTATTTGTATAGCTGTGTTAACCAAAACAACCGCAACCACAGTTGGTCTCATAAACGTTACGTAGCCAAAGTGGCGGCCGTTGAGACTTTCTGACCGTTTGAGAGCTCCATTGGGGTAATCTTAGTACACTAAATGTAGCCATACTTCGCATTGGGAGGTACAGCACGAATCACCTAGTCATTCATACGAAGGCAACGAAAAATAAATAACAAACTCATACAATGCAGTCATGGGTCACATAGGAGCAGGCCAACTTGTGGCCCCACGCAAAGTTATGTCATGAGGCCCTCTGTGTCGTGAACGTCGTGCTAGTGGAGCCTCGCAGCGGCGAAACTGCGGCGCACTTAATTGCGGCGGGAGGTGAAGCTCCCTCCGCGAGGTGAGGCCCCCTCCGCGAGGTGAGGCCCCCTCCGCGAGGTGAGGCCCCCTCCGCGAGGTGAGGCCCCATGCAGTCTGCGTGATCTGCGTGTAGGGAGGGGCGGGCCTGCATAGGCAACACACTCTCACTCCATAAACGTCCAGGAGCGACGCTTGGTCAGGGTCCCGAGTGGTGCAGTTGTGACGCTCCTAGGCTCCTTCAGCTTCATAAACAGACGCAAATAGCTTTCAACTGATTGCAATGTATTCCCATCTGAGGGGGGATTTGACGCTCATGGAAGCATGGCATTCATTTGTGTCGGAGGCTGTTAAAGGCAATGTGACCGTCCATTCCCATTGGATAACGGAGAATTGTACACCCGGAAGTAAGTATTCCCCTTACTGTCGATTGATTTGACAGTGATATCTCCACTACTCATCAACTCAAAAACACCAGATTATCCTTGTTAATTACACGACATTGATAGGTTTTAGTGTGTGTACAATGCTTTTGTCACGTTTTCCCCTTCAATTCTGAGAAACAAGTAGTTTTCTATGAGTTTTGGATGGCCGAAGACATTACATTACCCACAATCCTCTGTAGCAACCATAGACTGTATATTGCAACAGGCAACAGCTTCGGTTCATGTTAATTTACAAACTCTTCAACTACAACCGTAGTTATATTTAAAAACATGTTAGAAGGCCTCACGAAATACTTTAATGTAAATTAAAATGTAAATGTGAAGGAATGTGTGTATATTAACTGTGGGTTTTTCTCTGGAAGTTTTTCCTTGTACGATGTGAGGGTCAAAGGACAGATGATGCAGTTTTTCTCATACTGATATTCCGCTATGCACGCTGGGATTTGGTGTTTATGCGATGTGAAATCCGAAAACATTTAAAAAAAATTAAATAATACATTATTCCGAGTGTGCTTGCTTTTCTCTTTGAAAGTCATCACATAACGGCATTGTAATACACGTTTCGGCTGCATTAAATATTACATATCTGCCGTAGTTAACTCTATTTATAGAGCCCTGATGAGAACACTTCTAGACAAACAGGAACTGCCGCCAAAACTGAAAACTTGACGTGGATCTTAAATATATAAGCAATTAAACAACATCTTACATTTCTTTTCACACAATACGTCTCCTTGCAGTATCAACACTAATTCGGCTGACTTTTATATTTGATCCAATTGGTAGATAGGCTGTATTTACGCCATAACGGTGCACAGCTGATAGAAAGGGACACCTACTGGTTAAAGCACGTTATTGCATTTTATAATTGTATTATTAGATATTAATAGGAGGATGTGCAAAACAGACAAACTAATAAGGCTTTATTTAAACATTAAAGAATACTTTAGGTTAAGGTCTTCTTTTGAATAAGAAAAAAGCTTTGGGGGTATAGAAGATGAATATGGAGGGATGAAACCCTCTTTGATGGTCACACATGCAGAGCACACAGCACACACAGTGACATTTGTATCTACAGATAAATATTAAGCCTGACAAAGTACTTAACGTCAAATATATTGCTTTCCTGCAATGTTAACTATGTTTAAGCACTTATTTTAACTGATATTATACATATGTATTATACTCTTATAAGATGTATGTAGATAGTATAAGAAATGTGCAGAATATGACAATGTAATGGTGGAGGTACACACATATTGATAGATGTCTTGTAATGCACTGTTGAGGAACCTGCGACCCAAGTTTTTCATTCATTGCATAACTACACCGTAGTTGTGTATAATATGATATGTCAATAAACCTTAGGAAATCTTGAAATCTTGAATGGGATGTGCAAAATAGTCATTATATACAGTCTTTAATTAACTATTAGTAGAGAATAATGACGAGTAAAGAATATACTTTATAGGGATCCTATTAATATCTAATAATAAAATTATAAAATGCAATAACGTGCTTTAACCAGTAGGTGTCCCTTTCTATCAGCTGTGCACCGTTATGGCGTAAATACAGCCTATCTACCAATTGGATCAAATATAAAAGTCAGCCGAATTAGTGTTGATACTGCAAGGAGACGTATTGTGTGAAAAGAAATGTAAGATGTTGTTTAATTGCTTATATATTTAAGATCCACGTCAAGTTTTCAGTTTTGGCGGCAGTTCCTGTTTGTCTAGAAGTGTTCTCATCAGGGCTCTATAAATAGAGTTAACTACAGCAGATATGTCATATTTAATGCAGCCGAAACGTGTATTACAATGCCGTTATGTGATGACTTTCAAAGAGAAAAGCAGGCACATAATAATGTATTATTTAATTTTTTTTAAATGTTTTCGGATTTCACATCGCATAAACACCAAATCCCAGCGTGCATAGCGGAATATCAGTATGAGAAAAACTGCATCATCTGTCCTTTGACCCTCACATCGTACAAGGAAAAACTTCCAGAGAAAAACCCACAGTTAATATACACACATTCCTTCACATTTACATTTTAATTGACATTAAAGTATTTCGTGAGGCCTTCTAACATGTTTTTAAATATAACTACGGTTGTAGTTGAAGAGTTTGTAAATTAACATGAACCGAAGCTGTTGCCTGTTGCAATATACAGTCTATGGTTGCTACAGAGGATTGTGGGTAATGTAATGTCTTCGGCCATCCAAAACTCATAGAAAACTACTTGTTTCTCAGAATTGAAGGGGAAAACGTGACAAAAGCATTGTACACACACTAAAACCTATCAATGTCGTTTAATTAACAAGGATAATCTGGTGTTTTTGAGTTGATGAGTAGTGCAGATATCACTGTCAAATCAATCGACAGTAAGGGGAATACTTACTTCCGGGTGTACAATTCTCCGTTATCCAATGGGAATGGACGGTCACATTGCCTTTAACAGCCTCCGACACAAATGAATGCCGTGCTTCCATGAGCGTCAAATCCTGCCGCAGATGGGAATACATTGCAATCAGTTGAAAGCTATTTGCGTCTGTTTATGAAGCTGAAGGAGCCTAGGAGCGTCACAACTGCACGTTTATGGAGTGAGAGTGTGTTGGCATAGGAGGAACAGCAACACTAAAGGTCTGGTTTAAGGCCTAGCTATCTCTTGCTTTATATGTACTCTGTTGTGACTTTTAGTTTCTCCACAGAGCAAGTTTATCTTATTTTAAAAACAGTATTTCACCCTAATGTTGTTGTTCAGAAGGCCACTACATGCTGCATTACCTCACGTCAATCATGGTAACTCACACAGGTGTTTCCTGTTAAGCTGATTAGAGCTCATTAAGCCAAGGCTGGTTTATTATTATAGCGCCTTACAATAACATTGCAATGCAAACTTATGCAAAAAAACTGCATCTTAGGCAAGATATGAAAGAAACACAAAGGAGTTTTAAAAGAGCAGTATAATGTAGGAGATAAAAAAGTTTTATATTAAAAGAAATGTAAAAATCTCAGCCATATAAAAAAGTTTGGACCCTCCTACCTTAAAAAGACATGCTTTTTTGCTGATATCACCAAACTCCCTGAACTTCACACAGACGTGTTATACTTCCCCTTCAGACACGTGCAAAAAGATGAAAGGAAACATGTAAATCAATAATGCCACAACTCTACCATCACGGTGTAGGGCTCTGAGAAAACAAGTGAAGAGGCAAGAACATCATGGTCAGTATATATATACATATGTGCAGAAATATAATTAGAAAAATAAACCTCACTCTGCTTTACCAGAAATGCAAATTAGCCTACTTCCTTATTTAACAGGAAGTTAAGCTAATATCTGTAGAGGCAGTGCATGTGTTATCACATGATCATGTGGTTACCTATAGACTGACCCCTGACTGTTAAAGCAACTAACACACTCCATGATGCTCCTAAGTGTGAAAGAGACAGAAAAGGTAAGAACTTTAAATGAAAGTGAATGTTTTTCTTTGTCGGGGACTACATAGTAAACTAGAGAATGCAATTCCTGAAGAAATTGCTAGTGGGAATGCTTTATGCTGAAAAGCTGACACTGAATTGCTATGCTGAAATTAATGTGTAAAAAGAAATTGAAGAATTTAGATTGAAATGATACATGAAAACTGGGGGCTTGAATGTGTGATGAGAGAATAAAAGAAAGTAAAATGGCTTGGAAAAGCAGCAGAATATTTGAACTGCAAACTATTGAACTAACTTGATGGTGAATGATCTGTCACCATGGCAACGGTATTTGATGACACCCCATAATATGCTTAGATATGTTGATGGCTGCATCGTTACCAAACCTGTGATGTTTTGGGCTGTTTGGAGCATTTTCACTGTTCTGAATGAGAGATAAACCTCTTACATGTGAACGCTTTGTTGAAGAACTGTAACAGATATCGGTGAAATTTCAAAGCGTGAAGCATGTCAAGGAACTTGAGCATCTGAAGTGTACTTTTTGTGTACTTTCGGGTTAATAATGTGGCCTTTTTGGCAGATTAACTAAAGGTGTGCTGCTGCTGTGGTGGGGAAAGATGAGGCTGAACTTACAATGGGGTTTAATGGAGACATGTTGAAAGTTTTTGTCACTTCATGCCCTCAAGAGGCATTTTGTTTAATTATTTTGCTTAATTTTTATTTATTTATCAAGCTACGCAATGTTTTCCTACGTTTCTCATGATAAATTATGTCTCAGGAATGTAGGGTTTGGGAATTATGGCAGGTTTAAAATTAAATCTGTCCTCCACTCTAGCTGTGACATCACGCACTCTAAAATCTGAAGAAGGCCTCTTTACCAAGGTCTGAACAATGTTTAATATCTCTAAAAGTACGAATCAGATGTGTAACATTTTAAAGTTGGAAGGAGGTTTCTGAGTGAAAGTATGAAGGAGCAGTTAGCAGTTGAAGTTGCATGAAGATTGTTCAAGTCTGAAGAGTTTCTCCATTGACTTCCATGTTAAAAATGTGATGAATTATGGGATGTATCTCTGGAATTATGAAAGTTTTGAATAAGAAAAGTAATAGTCATCGATTCCCGACCGAGCTGAACGTTTTGATGTTTGAACGGAGTTTCTGCGATGTGGAATGTGGGAGAAGAAGAGGTGCAAAATAACCCGGCGGAATAATAAAGAATTTCGTGCGTAGCATAACAGATAGTTGGAATGCTGTATCAGCATTCCCACTAAATTAATGAAATACTAATATGCTAATGCTGAATCTAGAACAATAACTTAAAAACCTGCAACCATATCTACCTATCCATTGGTCAATTGACAGAAAAATAATCTACTTTGATGATCCATACATTTTGGTTAAAAAAAGAAAATACTTTATCAGCCTCTCAAATTTGCTGCTTTTTCTTGTTTTATATTATTTAAATATGTTGGGGTTTGGGACTGACAAAACAAGACATTACCTTGGAGTTTGAGAAACTACAGTAGGATGGACATTTTCCAGAGTTTTGTTTTTTTGTAAAGATTTTTTGGGGCAACCAGTGCCTTTTTTATAGAGGCAGAACTGAAAAAGGGAAACAGAGGGAATGACATGTGGCAAATGGTGCCAGGCCAGATTCGAACCCCCGTTCCTCCGGGAATAGCCGCAAACTCTACAAATTGAGCTTTACGGCGCCCTTATCCAACATTTTGACCAATATAAGTCGCTTTATCAAATATTTGTGAAATAAAACATCAGATTAATTAAAGTAATCATTGGTTGCAGCCTTAATATCTTTCTCCCTTGTGTTACTTCCTGTAACAGTTAAATAGTTGAGCAGCGAAATCAGCTTTGTTGAGGACAAACACATGTCTCCCCACAGACACCAATGGACGGTTATGCAACTAATTAGAAAACATAGTAAGAAGCTGTCAACCACAGGAAAATACCATAAATGTTGGTTAACTGTCAGCAGGAAATGCTTTCCGATTCCTGTCATGCATATAAGTCTTAATAAATAGCCTTTTGTACTCAGGCTTTGGTCCCTCCGCCTGTTTGCCTGCCTGTCTGTCTGCTGGCGTCTCCTCCATTTGTTGATGTGTGAGACCACAGTGGGAGACAGCAGCAACAATGTGACATGGCCTATGAGAGCATGGTATTCATAAACAAATGTGGTTTTGTAACGCTTTCTTTGATGGGCAAATGCTTGGGGTCATAAGTAATTAAATAGATATGTATAAGAATGAGAAAGAAGTTACAGAAGTTGACCTTCAAATATGTGGCAGAAGACCTGAGAGGCAACAAAGGTAAAGTTCACATGAACAAATGTCACTTTCATATGGAAGCAATACTTAGCCCTACCACTTCCCCTTTACCTCATCACAGTTTAATGGAGGCTATGTTTACCGTTTTACATAAACACAGAATGAGACTGAGCAGCACAGGCAGGACTGTATGTATTTCTGTTTGTGTGTATGCACATTAGTCTGCATATGTATACCTATATAAAGAAGAACAAGTGGTACTTAAAGCGATAAAGACCCGGACAGAGCCTCTGAATTGATATACGTCACACAACAGATGACTTAACGTATACAGTACAGGCCAGAATATGCACTTTGCATACCTCGGCCTGCAGCTTTAATGTGTAAAATATATCAGCGTAAAGTTAAACAATGCCAAACAGATGTCTACTCTGCCCGGCGCATATTTAGAATTTCACTTCTAAGAATGTATTCACTCTTTCTGAGCCGATATATCCAGCTATACCACAATAGGCAGATTTTGTACTTTTGACTACACCATAACTGTAAGATTGCTTCATTTTTTTAGATGTAACTTTTTATACCCTTACTCCCCAGTCAAAACCATGTATCTTTCATTTAGTGATCATTAATTTGAATGATTTAAATGAGCTCAAGAATAGAGCAGCAGTAGTTAATATTATATTTTTACAGCGGTACAATTCAAAACAGAGCTATAAGGAGAGGAAATATTGGAAGTTTGAAGAAAAAAAAACAAAGAGATACTGAGTTCGCCTTCAAGTAACCTAAAAACAGAAAAGGCCTACCCCTAACCCTAACCCTCTATAGAATCAGTGTTTGGTTTGTTGTTCTTGGCTACTGTGAAAACATGGAGGTCAAAAATAGTAGTAAAATACATGCTCCCTATGTGGGTGTGGTAGGATAACAACGACACAACTTACCATTGTCTAACCCTAACCCTAACCCTAACCAATCTCACCCAACTCATCCTACCAATGAAGGCAACGAGTACAAAAGCAACCTTGTCATTCCAGGGAAAATGTGGAAATCTCCTCTAAGCCCATGGAAAAACAACCATTCTTAGTTTTAGGTTGGCTTCACTGAACTTAACACGCCTGCTATGTATTTAGTTTTAATTTTGGTCACATGGAGTTGGATCCTTTTCCAGCACCCACTGAGCAAGAACCGAACACAAGTAGACCGTGCTTAATGAATTACAGATTTAAGGAATATAACAAAACAACTTAATGAGATACAGGGATACAAATGTGAAAACCAAATGTGTCACAGATACAGGCAAGTTCTATCAAGTGGTACCATACAAACAGAACTTGCATTACACATGTGTACATACATGATTCAATTACAAGTATAAAGACATGAAAACAATGCAAACAAAGAACATAATATCAGTTTAAACGTCTAATCATGTGCTTCCAGTTATTATGCTTATTGTAGGACCATGTCCACAAAAAACCTCTAAAATGTTAAGTGAGAAGCTAACATACCGATAAGAAGCAGTTGAGCATATTAGCTGTATGTAAACCTTAATACAGCCTCTAAATGAGTTTCCTTTGTTTGTATGCAAGGTTTCCTGTTTCTATGTATGTTGCTGTGGCTTTATCATGTATGTCTATTGGTATTGATACCTGTGCATAGCAACAGTCTCAAAGGGTTGGCAAGAAACACTGAGCTCATTCTTCGGTTGGCTTTTTAAGCCACTCCACATGCAAAATGTATTTTTGACCCTAAAGTGCCGCCTCCATATGGACAAACCCAGACGCTGGGTTCTCCCTTGTATTGATTAGAGAAAATCTTTGATCTTAAAAAAAGCCCTTTACTTTTTCTTTTTTAAATTCTTCAATTATTAATTCAAAAAGTGTGATTTATTTATATTTGAGCTGCCACCCATATTTTTTTGTGATACTCATATTTTAATTTAAGATAAATACAAAGTAAAGACTGTTTATATCGTTTTTATATCGGGTTTTTTAAGCAAAATCGGACAAGGGTTATGTAAATCAGTTTTTTATTTGCCATTATTTCTCAAATGTATGTAAGCAGAATTTGAACCCAAATACTACAGAGATGGTTTGGAATCATGTTTAGGGGGGTTCGTTTTCTCCCGTTGGGACATATTTTCGCGAATATAGCACTGTATTCAACAATCTCTTTGCTCAAGAGATTATTGAAGGTGAGATTCATCGGTTTTGCTAGATGGCGATAAAAACAACATGACAGCACAGCCAGAGAAACATGGAAACCATTTTAACCAGCTCACACACACACTCATTTGTGACTTTTTGGGGAAATGGCAATGACATCACATTGCAGTGCTTGTGACGGAGAACAGATATCACATTTCCGAGCTCTTTACGTGGAGGGATTAAGCTGTTTTTTGCATATTGTTCATTGGTTTTTAGAGCTGTGACAGACACATCCAAACTGTATTTGTGCTTGAGCATGCATGTGTCCAAAAGTGTTTGTTTGTCTACCGCAAAAATGTTGTTATGGAGATGTTGGTGGCCTTACGCAAGCATTTCAATAAAGTTTATATACCAAGTTTTCCAGTTGCTGCACAACAATCCATTCAAGAACTGGCGCCGCTAGAAACTGAATCAAAGAGAACTGAAAATATCCCACATTTTTCAGTTCCTGCTGGTGTGGTCTGCCATAATAAACTGTCCTCATTGTGTTTGATTTTTGTATTCCTGCTAAATGTCTTCTTCTCCCTTCTCAGATGGACGACATAGACGCCATGTTTAGTGACCTGCTTGGAGAGATAAATACTCTCTCTCAGGTGAGTTGTACACCAGTGCTATAAGATTAATGCTTATATAAAAAATGATGTGGGGTCAAAACAGTGTCCACAAACAATTGTTATGTTACGTAAAATGCAATTTACAAAGGAATGTTGAATCCACCATTAATGCTGTTTGTTAAGCAACCATGTTACACATATTGGCCAATTAAGTCATTAAATAGGTAATTAGACACTAATGGCGCTATGAAAAGTGAAGGGATCATAAAATGTTTAACAATTTACGAGAGTTTTTGAGATATTTCACTCAAAACCATAGACTGTAGATAGGAAATGGATTAATCACCATTACGGTTTTGAAATGCTTTAGTTCGGCATTTTATTCAGAATCGTTTTTTCTTGGTTTTGGGCCATTGCAATCTTTTTTTGGAACCATAAATGACATAAGAGGGTGGAGTACAACCCTACTTAGAATTCACCAATGATTACATTTGTACATAACAAAAGGCACACAAAGGAGAAGTAAGCTCTCACTTTTGACATAGTTTTGAGAGACTTAGTTGGGATGCCAGTATAGGATTTATCCAACTAGTACCCCAGAACCGGGAAAGAAGTACAACCAAATGCCAAGCCATTTTCTAGGCGACAAAAATATAACAAAACACTTTCATAAAAGAAAACACGCTGTCAAAGAGTTGAAGTTGTACGGTAAGACGAAAAACTTGGGCAGACCGGACAACAATGTGGTGGCGATCTGTCAATCCCAAAGGATCCTTTAAATAAAGTCTCTAGGTAAATGTTTACTGAGCTAATACATCAAGTTAGAAGCAGGGTCATTTTATCATAGACTTTTATACAATCACACTCCCTTTACAATACGTGGAGTCGCCCCTTTTAAGGCACCTCCGAATTGTCTTTACTTTTCAGACACAGAGGTTGCCACTTGCTATAAACTGTCAAGCTCCATGTGGTGCTAGGAAAAAAGAAAAGGGCTCATCAGAGTCATTAAGATTCTTTCTCTGAGAACCATGACACGTCTGTTTGAAAGTTTATACGAATCATCCATGAGTTTCAAACTCCATCTACATCATGCATCAGTTCATCTGGAGTTATAAAGAACAACAGCCTGATATCAAACATCTTTGGTCGCATTCTTTCTCAAAACATGACCAGATGAGCCGAGACTCTCACATTCTGGAGGACTGCTCCATCAGTGCTTTTGAAGTAGGAACAGGTTACTAGAAGTAAATCAGACAAATCACTCAATGTTTACTTTGCTAATCTGTGCATTATCTGATTACACATGGCAGTCTTTGTGTTGAAACTGAAGCTTCTGACCGAAAAAAATGTAAGGAGAGACTGAGACGTGAAGTCATCGCATCTGGATTGGACGTGGACTATCGCTGCAGATTTCCTTAAGCACACATAATCTGCTCATCATATGACTACGGCTCACCAAGCAAAACATGACATACTTCCAACTGATTCAACCTCAGCCTGAGGTTCAATCCATTTTTTGCCCTTTCAAATCTCTTTATGTAAGCTGCGACCCTGAGAATGGGACCATTACATCAGCCATACCAGAAAAGCGCTCTATATGTCACTTTCGCATGCACCTTCTTGAAAAGCCACCACAGTGACAAACACCATCCAACAGACTATAACCAGTGTTAGCAAGAAAAGTATTTTGGTTAAAGCCTTGATCCTCTCAGAGTCTGAGAAACAAAAGCATTTAAAGTGATTCGACTCCTCGCCTTGAAACCAGAAGACAAAAAGGAGAGTTTGTTGTGTGTTCAGACAGAAATGATCCGGGTTGAACTGCGTGCTGGCAGCAATCATTTTGTGTACAGGTTGGCAGTTATCCCAGCCTGTTTAAAGAATATGAATGAGCCTGTAGAGACTTCTGTTAATAATTAAGACATTGCAGTCTCGATATCGGCCATTCTACCAATGATATTCAAGCTCTTTAATAGAGACACCAGTGCTCATGTACAGTATGCACCGGATGTACAGCTTGTTCCAAAAAAAGAAAACATAGACAATTTGCAACATCACACTTGACAAATACGTTTTTCTTACTGAAGTGACATATTATTTATGTCTTTGCAGAAGCCAAGTGCGATATTTTCCCTATTAATTGTCCAACTTGAAAACAGAGCATTAAAAACAGGGAAACAACTACTGATACAAAACAGGCTCATGCAACCTCTTCCAACAACAGTTCAGAGCAGTTCAAGGACACATATGGCCCATTTTGGCAGCTCTTTGATTTGAAATTAAAAGCTTCTGTCATACAAATGACTTCTGTGTAAAATGTATTTTGAAACATTTGATGCAATAATGTTTATTTGCTGTACAATATACAAAGGTCATATGGTGTGAGATTTTGTTAATATATTATCTCATTGCTTTGTTGCAGAGTTTAATGCCATCAGCGGACAGAACTGAAGTGGACAGCGCTTTACAGACAGAGCGCACCTTCTCCATTGGCTTCACAGACCTGAATGGTAAATGCTCATTCAAATGACAATGCTCTCTTTCAAAGCAAGAACTGTAGATGTTCAACTGTGTTACATAACCAAGAGTCACACTGCCCTGAAAATATGTGTGATGTAGAAAGGATGCAAGTGGGGGAGGTAAGGCAGTCTTTCAAGATGTTATGTTTCTGTTAGGAGATGGGGAGAGTCTGTTTTTTCTTGTGCCAGAAGATCACGTCAACCTCTGAAGATTAGGGTGGATAAAAGTGGAGATAAATCAGTTTGGGAAATAAAGGAGGATGCCAACAATCTGTTGTTAGGACTAAGAAATAACATAACGTAACATGACGTAACCAACATGGCAGGACAATTGGATGGCTGTGGCACAACTGTATAAATGCCAAAAATCTGTTGATAGGACTAAGAAATACAAATAGATTCAATAGCGTCCCGCTGCAGAGCTTTAGGCTCATGATGTAACGTAATATAACGTAACATTACATAAAAGCGGCGGGGGGTGTGTGTGTGTCTACAGAAAGTCCAGTGGTGATAGACACGGTTCGCCACTGCGTAACATAACGTAACATATCGTAACATATCGTAACATATCGTAACATAACGTAACATAACGCAACATAACGTAACGCAACATAACGTAACGCAACATAACATAACGCAACATAACATAACGCAACATAACATAACGCAACATAACATAACGCAACATAACATAACGCAACATAACATAACGCAACATAACGTAACATAAAGTAAAGTAACATAACGTAACATGATGTACTGTAACATGACATAACGTAACATTAAAAACATAATATAACATACTGTAACAGAACGTAAAACATAGCGTAACATAATGTTACGTAACCTAACATGATGAAACATGACGTAACATAACATAACGTAACATAAAAAACATAGCGTATCATAAGGACACGCATAGCCAGGAGATGCCTAGCTTAGCACAAAGACTGTCAACAAGGGGAAACAGCTAGCTTGGCTACGGAGGTTTTGTTATCAGTGTGAGGTTACCAGGAAGGGAAGTTTGACTGGCACCTTTACTTCTCTGACCTTTAGGCCACAACTCCTTATCTCCTTACAGAGTCTCTTAAAGAACTGGAGGACCATGACCTGGATGCTCTGATGGCTGACCTATCAAGATCAACCACCTCAGAATGTAGCCTCCCCACATATCAACAGGCCGGCAGCTTTGCAGATAATGAAATAGCAGCATCTGCCCTTCCTCCACCTTCAAACTCTGCTGAATCCTCTGGAGGGCTGCAAACGGTAACTATAGAATCAGTCACTGCTTGTGAAAAACAAAGTTGTAATTTCAAAGAATAAAGGACAACTGATAACCTCCTCTTTTTATGCTTCCAGAGCGAACCACAGACAAAGTCAGACAAAATTAAACTGGCACTGGAAAAGCTGAAAGAAGCCAAAGTGAGAAAGGTAAAATGATCAGGTTTGTTTATGTATTAAGTCACTTTGCAGTCAGATAGACACATGTACTTAGTTTGCTGCCTGTCCTAGTTAATAGTAAAAGTGCTGATGAGTGACGGCAGCTCCAAAATACTGATGGTGGATGAGAGACAGACAGTCCGAGAGGTTTTGGACACGCTGTTTGAGAAGACACACTGCGACTGCAGCATTGACTGGAGCCTGTGTGAGACCAACCCTGAACTGCAGATTGGTGAGATGAACAAGAACACACACAGACACACCAATGCCAAAAATAATCTCCACAGAGGCAGGATATACATGTGTTTTCAACATTTCAGAAAGAGGCTTTGAAGACCACGAACACGTAGTGGAGCCCCTGTCTTCGTGGACTCGTCTCAGTGAAAACAAAATGTACTTTGTCTCAAGACCTCAGAAGTATGTGATGTTCACAAACCCTCAAGTGAGTAAGAGTGCTCTTGCCTTTTCAAAAATGTTATTAAACTGTCTTCTGCTTAGTCGGTATAATGAACCATGCTTTTCTCCCCCTGAAGGTATTTTACATGTGGAAAAAGAAGAAAGAAGGTTCGAGCGAAATTAATGAGCAAGCCAAACAGCTCTTACTTCAGGTCAGTTACAGTACCATGCTCACATCTTATTAATGAGACTATATGTCAAGTTGATGTGTGTCATTTCACAAAACGAGAGAAAGTTGAAATTCATAAAACTTTTACAGGTTTTGGACCTAGTTGATATAATTTATCAATAATAAATAACTCAATGGTCATTTTTTCTATGTCCCATCTTGCTTTAAACGAGTTGTCATAAAACCCAACCTGATCCGTCTGTTCTTAATATTTACCATCAATAATATCCAACATTCTGGATGAAGTGCATTGGAACAATTTCAGTCACCATAGCGCTGAGTCTGTTCTCCCGAGAGTGAAAAAATGATTGTTCTTATCTTTGGACTCAAGAAGTCACACAGTTTCAATTAGTTTAGATCTCTCTACTGCCTTTGACACAGTCAATTACTCTACCCACTAAGACTGCCCTTGAACTCTAACACTACAAGACAAATTAACCTTTGTTAGAATTTAAATGTGTGTCCTTTTCTTCTGCACCCGTTTTCTGTGGAGTTCCACAAGGCTCCATATCAGGCCCCCTTTTTCACTATATGCTTCCTTTGAGGTCTATCTGAAGAAAGATTGCTGGTCATGTTAAGCAGACTACACGCAGCTGTACCTCACACTTACCTACTAATGTTCTTCTCTATTCCGGGACCCCGCAGGAGCACTTTGGAGGTTCCACTCTGATTGTTCCTGATCTTGAAGGTACCCTGTACCTCAAAGAAGATGGGAAAAAGGTTTGGAAACCTCGCTACTTTGTGCTCAGGGCCTCAGGCATCTACTATGTACCCAAGGGAAAGACAAAGGTATGGCTAAACAAATAAAATGTTTGAGCATTTAAAGAATTCTAAGAAGGTTCATATTTCACTTTAAATGCAGGCATGTTCATAGTGCACTGTTGACACCAATGTGTTGTTGCTCAAGAGAGAACAGCTAGGTTAGAGATGAGCTATTTAGCAACCTGTGTGGTTGAAAGCACCTCCTACACACAAAGCCTTTTAGTGGGCCGTTGCCATGACAGTAAAACTGGTTATTACTCATTTGGTTAGGTCATTTATGGCACCAGGCAGTAAAGAGCCTAACTATTCTTAGCTAGATGTAAGGTGTCTAAACTTACAATATGAACCCAGAGAAACAGTTAGAATTTGTGGCATGTAGTTATCTAAGATCAGTGTGCAAAAGGGTGTGTAATTAAAGTTAATCATTATTGTGAAAATAATCAGAGGTGCGTCCATGGTGTCAGGTTTTTGAAGCCAACAGTATTAAAGACTGTCCAGTTGAGGTGAAAGAGTAAAGGACACAAATGGTTTGGAGGAAAAGTACAGCAGCAGTCTTTAAACAAAGAGAGACAAGATACGTTTTCCCCCTGTGTGAACTCTATGATGGCTTACATCTGAGTGCTCAAGCGTAGCAGAGGCAGAAAGAGCGAGAAATGAAGATGGACAGTGTGAATTGAGGCCAAGCTGCTGTTGAAGAGCAGCATATGAGTGAGGGCTGAAAAATAAAAGAAATCGGAATAACCATCTAAGAGGGCAAACTGTGCTAAGCAGATGTGCAAATCGCTGCAGGAATCATCCAACGCCAAGGCCACATGGAGGAAGAAGGTGAAGATTTGGAAAGGATAGAAATGGCCGAATAAGGCAGAGTAAAAATCATCAGCAGAACGACAAGACTGTACACAAAAGCTACTGTCATTTATGAAGAAGAGGGGGATGGAGCTTTGATCATAAAGCAGGAAGTGTTGGCTAATGGAAGAAGGCAAATGGACAAAGGTGCCAGATAAAGTGAGAAAGAACATGAGAGATAAAGAAAAGAGAAGCCAGAGGGCTGCGGGTTACTTCCTTTTCCTTGAAGCTTCCCTTTGTAGATTTCCGAAAAACAGCATCTTTGTCAGTGTGGTTTATTGTGTGAACACAATATCTCTGCTCAAAACCAAAAAAGGGAAGGAAAGTTGAATTGCTTTACAAAAGAAAAAACAAATGTGTCCCTTGACTTGAAGCTTCATTGTTGCCTCCCTTGAAAATGAAAGAAAAACTATTGGCCCTCCACTTCTTTGAAGTGTCTTTATTTGTAATACCAACCACACAACGAGGCTGAGAACAAGTACTTCTTCACAAAATGATGACAAGAAATGCAACTTCTCCAACATATGCTACATCTTAAAACTGATTGGCAGCTTTTTAATGGTAAAAGATCTTGAAAGTTGATTACCATATATTGTACACATTTAAAACGCATGTACGTAAATCCAAACTGTAATTTCTTTCGTCATTATAAGATGTGTACCTGACATTCTGAATATTAGCTTTTTCTTTTCTCTTTCCGATAGTCTTCCAGCGATCTTGTCTGCTTTGTCCATTTTGAAAAATTCAACATCTATAACACCAAGCACTTCAAACTGAAATACAGAGCTCCCACCGACTTCTGCTTCATGCTTAAGGTAAGCTCAACGAATCACCCTCGGCATTGGGAGAAAATTACAGACTTGGTAATGATCATCGGATTTAACTAAAAAAAGGGTTAGGGTTAAAAAGGGTTAGGGTTATTGTTCATTACAAAGAGTCTCTCCACAACAGGGTCAGTGTTGTCTCTGTTCAAAACTTTTCTGAGCACTCGAGGAACTCTTGCAGTATGTCAACACTTACTTGGGGTACCATACGGTTTTCATTGTCGATGAATAAAGGAGAGAGAGAGAGAGAGAGAGAGAGAGAGAGAGAGAGAGAGAGAGAGAGAGAGAGAGAGAGAGAGAGAGAGAGAGAGAGAGAGAGAGAGAGAG